TAAATTATTCCTTTTAAAATTTGTTCTCTGTCCTTCCATTTCTGTTCACTTTTGGATGAAAAATCAAGTGTCAACAAAATAACTAGATGATTTTCTTTCCTTTTCTTCCCTCTTCAAAAATCAATCTAAACAAGAAAAAAAAAAATCATGCTCCTTCAATTCCTTTTTTTTATTTACCCCCAGTGGTTCTCTCAATCCAAACAGCGCCTTAGGGCTCTTATCTGCCAAGCAACGGTTGCATTTAGGTGAACAAAATGATTCTTATCTTAACCCCCACAAAAAATAGAAGAGTACAGTGTCACTTAAAGTAAATGGGCTCAGAAAAAGGAGATGCAATAGACGATGGACAAAAGCCCAGCCCAGTAATCCAAAACAGGCGAGAAAATTTCAAAGTCCACCCTAGATAATCTCTGCCTGGAATGCGAAGCAAAAAACACCCACCAAATTCGTGATTCCCAATTAATTGGTGCATTCGAAACCCTAGAATAGGATTGGATAACTGAATCGGAAAAGCCGAAGAAAAAGATGGGGAAACAGCCGGTGAAGCTGAAGGCGGTGGTGTACGCGCTCTCGCCGTTTCAGCAGAAGATTATGCCTGGCCTCTGGAAGGACATCACCACCAAGATCCACCACAAGGTCTCCGAAAACTGGATCAGCGCCACCCTCTTACTCGGCCCTGTCATTGGCACCTACTCGTAAGAGTACTTTTTCTATACACAAATCCATGTTTGTTATTAGTTTATTCTCAATCTTTCAGTAGATATAGGTTGGTTCTATTCTCCTTGATTTCGGTTCTTGTACTTTATATTTTGATATAAAATTGTGGTCTTGGAAATGATTGGGGGTCAGAGTTTCTTTGTGCTTGCTTCCTTGATTGGCTAAATAGCTAGTGTGTTTTGTCGTAGTTAATTAAATAGGGAAGCGCAACGATGGGACTTGTGTATTATTTGTTGCTGTGTATGATGATTTTGACTGGGCTGAATCTTTTGCTCGGTGATACTGCGCATTTCTATGTATTGGCTTAAGCCTTCGTCTTGCATATTGGACTTCTGACCCGATTAGTGCACAAGTAGTACTGAAAGCATTACGCTTTGTGATGTTTAATGAGTATTGCTACATTACTCTCTTTTTTCGAATTTGTTTGCTATATTATTGCTGTTTCTGAAGGAATTGCTGGGACACAAATCTGTTGTTGGTATAGGAATAGGACTATAATGCGGTATAAGTCCTGGATTTCACATAAGCTATTGCCACTTAGTGGCTGAGCCACGGCCTAGTGCCAGTGGATGGTGTAGTGTACTACTAAATTGATGTCATTATTTTGTAGAGAGAAGTTTGCACCAAGATCTAAAGTTATTTCTTATTCATGTATCAATGTTGTGTTTTAATAGCACCTAACGATTTTACTAAAAGAAGTTAATTGTTTAGGGGGCAATGGGAGGGGAGATGGGCATTTTTCCAATTGTAGGGAGCAATGTCAAGGGAGAAGGCTATTATCCAAATTTTGGGGAACGAGAGTAGTTGTTAGAAAACCTTAAACTGTTAGTAAAGCTCTTATTCCTGTTCTTTAATTTCTGCAAAGTTGAGTGGCTCCGACATTCTTGCAAATCCATGAGTGCTTTTTTTGTTTGCTTACTATAGTTTTAGATGCATATTCCCCACAAGCTTTTAATGAGTTTGGTGGGGATAAGAGTTCAGTTCACTTTTTTTTTATCAGTGGATAATCTAGAGAGAGTATCTTAGATCAGTTAAGGTTTTATATGGTTTGGATTTTGAAGCATTTGCTTTAGTTTTTTAACAATGTACATGCAATGTGAGAAGAATCATCCATATGATTGATGATGTGAGAATCTGAGGGGTCTACTGGGGGTGGGGGGGGGGGCTAAGTGCTTCTTTTGTGTTATTACCAATTCCATGTATGACCCCAAAAAATAAAAAATTGGGGTGTTAAAAATGTTGTTCTTTCATGAGTTTATTTGATAATTGAATTTTAACTGTTGAATCATAAAGATAAAGATAATTATCAGTAGGAAGAGAATAATTATATTTGCCTGCTTTCAGATTGCATTCCATCTGTAGAATGTGAATCAAATTTTCTAATAGACAACCTCCCTTTGATTGGAGCAACTCTGATACATTAAGGGAAGTAAATAATCCTTCTTCCCAGTGTGGCTTCAACAGTTTGCGATTTTAATGACAGAATGTAAGGTTGTGGATGCTTTTACAGATTTGGCTTTTGTGTGGTACTGATTGCACATACGATATCAGAAGTTGCTTTTTGTTGTATGGGGATATGCAGATAACAGATTTTACATGTGCTCTTCAATGTGGGTCTTCTTACTAGGATTGGGTAATACAGTCTAGGCAAGGATGTGAAGTCTCAGAATTGGGGCATTCGTGGCTCTCTTATGTGATTCCGTTTAATCCTGTTCCACTTGTTTCCACATGATAATCACACAATATATCGTCCATATGTTAAGTGCCATAAGAATAATTTCTATATTGGCGAAGTGCAAGAGTTTTTTTTCCCCCTTCCTGATGTTCCAATCCATTTTGTCAGATAAAAATTAACACTGTTCAAAGATAACAAAGACGGATTTTTCTGTGGTTGTCCCTCCTGCTAAATGAGCCTTTGGCATGGAGCCTATTATAGGGGTATTGGTGATGCTACTTTCCTTTCTATGTATGCCTGTTGGGAAATTTTTTCAGATGTATATGACAAGATGAGAAGCTGTAAGTTATGACTTATGAATTGTTCTCCGGTCATTGAGAATGTTGGGAGCACGATTTAAGCTTTTTAGTTGTTTGTGACTGATCCATGCAAAAATTTCATCTTATTCTTGGTGGATTGATTTATGGACTTTGGCAATGGATATGTGTTCTTTAAAATTGCCATATGTTTGGTATCAGATTAAATGAAACTCTAAAACCTACATTCCCGAATGATTAAAAATGCAGGTATGCCCAACACTACAAGGAGGAGGAGAAGCTGGCACACAGATATTGAAGTGATTAATCGTGGAACAGGAATGTCTATTTTTGTTTTCTTGCAAATAAGCTCAATGTTGTGAGGTTTGCTGCAGATGCAGTTGGTTACGCAGTTGTGTTTGCCTGTTCATAGCCAATATCAGTCATGGTATTTAGCGTCTGCTGCTTGGTGACGTGAATCGTTTCTGTTCAAAATATTTATTGTTAAACCTGATTGAGGAGTTGTTTCTCCCATTTTCGTGTTCCAAGCTGACTTATTATCTCTCAACTCGACGTTATCCGCTCAACAATCCCAATCCACCCATCCCCCTCCCCCCCCCCCCCCACACACACACACACACACAAAAGGGGGAAAAAACCCAGGGCAGTGGAAAAGAAAAGGAGATGCTGTCAAGAAAAGGATACAATATTGCAAAGGAAATTTCTGAAAATCGTGGGAAGTGGTGATGCGGGCTAAATACAGAAAGGAACGAATTGACCATATAACGTTGATAGCAGATACCCTATATGCCCTGTGAAAGGATAGAAATCGAGATCAGCTAAATGAAGAGGGAATGTGCTTTACCAATATAGTGAACAGAGCCTGGACTGAGCGCAATGAATATGATAGTTGTAGAGATATTGCAGAAAGGCAAGCAAAATGGATGGCAAAGGAAAACAAAGAAAGATTAGTAATAACAACAAAGAAAGATTATTATTATGTTCTTAGAAGTGTAGGAATGGGGGTGGTAGCTTCCGATAGCGATGATTCCTTTACTGCAGTATGGGCATTGGTGGAGAAGAAAAGAAGCCATAAAGCTCTAGATGATGCCGGGGCAGTCAAGTTGGTGGAGGAACCGGTACAATGGCTGAATAAGGCGGCGAAGCTAAGGTCCCATCAATCAGCTCCTATTTGCATTGTTGAATTACAATTACAACTGAATGAAATTGATCCAAGGGCTGTAATGTAGTATTAGTGTAATAAGACTAATTTAATGATGGTGAATTAGATAGCACATCCACTTAATCAAATAATTAAGGTTAAAAAATCCCATTGGGCAGAGAAGGAGAATATAAGGGCCAAACTTGCTTGGTTTAGCGTGAAGAAAGGGCTAAAAAAGAAAAAAAAATTGATCTGCAAGAGGCAGCGCAAATCGTGTGCAAGAAAGAATATTAGAATTATGTCACTTGTCAAAATATTAGGAAGGCACGTGCAAAAAGGGAGGTGAAAAATTAAAGTATTGTTTGATAATTCAAATCAATACTCAAATTTAATGGATTCAGATGTTAATATGTTCAAAAGTGTTTAATAACAAAAAAAATAGAATGTATAAATTCATTAAATGACATTGAATTTTTTAGATAAAATTTGCTCTCAAAAATAAATGATAAACAATGCACTGTCACTTAATGTAATATATATTTAAATATATCAAATTTAGTACTGAACATTTCAATAATTTAATGAATTTAAATTTCACATTTAAAATTTCAGTTTTCAAATTCTAGTTTTATCGTACTAAAGTTCCCTTCCTTCTTATATACACAATGTGCCTGGCTTTGTGGGACTCAAAAGCAAAATCAAATAACCCAAAAATTGCAATACCATAAATGCAATTATGTTATATTGCTATCGTAGTTCATGTCGTGGTTATTTATTTTAATTCTTCCTTTCTCTTTCTTATTTGCATTAATCTATTCATATCAATGCTGTATAATGCTCAATCACCCATATAGCGAAATGGAACCCGTAAAGTATATACCTTTTTTTCTTGTATGACACCGTAACAGCATTATTTACATTTACCAAATTTAAGACTTGGAAAATCTTTTATTGGAAACTAATTTGTAATTTTACGGCTAGTAAAGTAATTGTATTCTGTTTAGCTTTCTTGTTTCTAAATTAATTCTTAACACCATCTAATTACATCCACCATTTCAATAGTATTATACATAATAACATTTAAAAAACCATCAAAGATAAAAATTATTCCACTCAAATTTTCTAGTAGTAGCGACAAGTGAAATTAGATATGGAGGTTCAAATTTTAGTGAAAGCGGTGGTGTCCATTACTTTGGTTGGCATCCTGGGTGGCTTGGTTTTCCGTCTGTATAGAGAACTAGTGGGCAATCCAGAGAAGATTAGGTCGGCCCTGCGGAAACAAGGGATAGGCGGACCACCGCCCACTCTTTTGCTTGGCAACGTACTGGAGATGAAGAAGGCTCGAACCGCCACCAACTGTGCTAATGCTCTTTTCCCCTTTATTGGACCCTGGCATAACAAATATGGTAGATTTAAGCAAATACTAATGCATTAAGTCACAATTTTTCCTTTCCTTGATTTCATCACGGCATTCAGCTGTTCAACAACTCATCAGTATACATGTAGTTGATTTGTATTTTCATATATGTATATATATATATATACTAGCAGTCCTACGATTAGAATATCCCAGTTCTAGCGTATCCGGTGGATGTGGGAATCATCAGGAAACTTCAATCCACCGTAGCTGAATAGGGTAGGGAAGGTGGTGGTAATGCCTTGGACAGTTTGCATTGATGTTAAACGTGGGGCGGAGGCGTTTGTACATGTTTCGACTCTTTGGTAGTATCTGCGGTTAATTTGTGTCAGTAGTTTGGCGTTAAAGCGTTTTTGAGCTGATTAATTAATTTGTCCCGATATGAACCCGTGTACATTTACCTGTGGAATGGTGGTCTATCAGTAGGCCGAGTTTGCAGACTTTGAGGTAAGGAATTAATCGTAAAACATGAGAGGAGAGAATCATCAAAGATTAAAGTGATGAAAGTACCTTGTCCACCCTCAAGAAAACCTATGCAATTCTAAGTGTAATAAAAAAGGATCATTAAGTTCTTCACCCTTCTCTAGAAAAATAAATAAAACTACCAGTTTAACTCGGAGTTAGTAGAGTTTGAGACAACCTATTGACTAATATCTACTATATATAATTGAGCATTGCCATTGTTTTTCCGGCCAACAGAGGACGTATGGTTGAACACTGTCATTCTCCAATTTCTCATTTTTATAAGCTCAGTTGTCAGAGTTGGCTGTGACGTTTGGTTTGATATAGCAGCATATAGACGTTACGTTGCATTAATCCGCATGCTGCAGGTCATGTCTTTGTGTTTTCTATTGGAGTCATTCCAATATTACATGTGACCCAACCAGACATGGTGAGGGAGATCACCACATGCACATCCCTGGACTCCTACTTAGCAAAAAACCGTGCCTATTTGCTTGGTCGGGGCATTCTGACTTCGAACGGAAATCAATGGGCTCATCAGAGGAAGATCATTGCACCAGAATTCCATGGTCAAGGTATTATATAGCACATTACCACGTACATCTGGCGATTAAAAGTACTTGTTCTATTCGACTGTCTTACTTCTTGCATTTTTATCTGACCTTGTATGTTTAAACCCTTATGGGGAATGATAAAGCTGATTCGAGAGTCTGCCATGACTTTAATAGACGTGTGGAACAACATGATTGAGGCCAAAGGTGGTGTAGCTGATATAAAGATTGACCAGCATATGAGGAGCTTCTCAGGCGATGTAATATCGAAAGCATGCTTCGGGAGCGATTATTCAAAAGGAGGAGAGATCTTCGTCAAACTCAGAGCTCTTCTGGAATGTGCTTCCAAGAAGGGTTTCAGCTTTGGCATTCCATTCATGAAGTATACTTTCTTCTATGCCCTCTACAAACAAAGAATTAATTTATTCATGAATGTTTGACAAACAAACTTTCTGAATTCTATTTGGGTTTCCGAATGCATCACGAGAAGCCGGGCCAAAGGCGTCGTCTTTGAGGTTATTCAGATAAATGCGTGCTTGAGCAGATAATCTATTCATGCACACAGCCCACGTTCAGATGAAAGTTCTAATTTACCACCCTGTTTGCATATTTAGTTTAATTTGCCAAACGTGATCCTCCTAATTTAGCTCCAATTATGTTGGTTTTTGCTTTTAATTTTTAGTGCATACGCAAATGGCAAAGAATTCCTCGATATAAATGGTTTCATTAGTTGCTGCTTCTGTTTAGCTGTCAATCTTTTGAAGCGCTCTCTATCAGTGTTGACCAAAAAATAAAAAAGAGAGTGAATTTAAGGTAGTTAAATTAAACAGGTACCTTCCCACAAAGAGCAACAGGGAAGCATGGGCATTGGAGAAGGATTTGAGAACATTGATTTTGAGGGTTGTGAAGGAAAGGAATGAAAGTGGTGACGAGAAGGACCTGCTGCAAACCGTTCTGGAAGGAGCTAAGAACAGTGAACTGAGCCCAGATGCAATCGACAGCTTCATAGTCGACAACTGCAAAAACATATACTTGGCTGACTTTGAAACCACTGCCCTGGCAGCCACATGTTGTTTGATGCTGTTAGCAGCTAATCCAGAATGGCAGGAACGCGTTCGTGGTGAGGTCCTTGGCGTTTGTGATGGCCAAGCTCCTGACAGCGACACGATTAGGAAAATGAAGGTGGTACACTAGAAATTACTCAAATTATTAGTCCTGCTTTCTTGGTTTTTAGTTGCTAGAAATTAAATTAAGTATACTGGTTATTTTGCTGAGTGGTACTAATTGTTGCAGCTAAGTATGGCGATTAATGAGTCCTTACGCCTCTATCCTCCAGTTGCGATCATGTCTAGAGAGGTTTTCGAGGAAATGAAATTTGGGGGCGTTCACGTACCAAAAGGCGTGAATATTTGGGCACTCGTCTTGACTTTACACACAGATTCTGAAGTCTGGGGAGCAGATTCCTACCAGTTCAATCCAGACAGGTTTGCAAATGGGATCGCTGGGGCTTGCAAGCTTCCGCACTTATATATGCCATTTGGAGTTGGCCCAAGGGTGTGCCTTGGACAGCACTTGGCATCGGCGGAACTCAAGAATTTGTTGTCTCTCATTTTGTCAAATTTCACTTTTACCCTCTCCCCTACTTATATTCATTCCCCGACTTTAAACCTGGTTATAGAGCCCGAACATGGAGTTGATCTGAATGTGAAGAAGCTATAAGCACTTCTCCAGCGGGATTTGGACGTATTGATAAATTGGAGCCTAATTTACTGTATATTGTACCATGGATATCCTCTCCTGCTTTCCATTCAGTCAGAGGTGAAAAATTTGTAACCTAGTAACATATAAATCTTGGATTTCTTAGGTAATATGTGATTTGAGAAAGCAGTTTCAAATCAAATAGCTTGTGAATAGTCGCTAATTGAGATGCTTCTATTCAACCTATTTCAGTCGGAAATGGAAAATTGTATAAGCATGAAGGAGTGAATTAAACTAAATTAAAGCATCTGAAGAGAAACTGCATAATAACCATATAGTCATTTATTTTGTGGACTACATGGTTACGTATCCAAATCACGTAGCTAGTGCCAAAATGCTGAGTAATCAATCGAGTTAAAGTAGATAAACAGTTTAAAGGATTAACAATTTATGTGGAGTGATTGGTAATAAGGCCTTCCTGGGATTGATTAGAAAAAAAAAAAAAACAATTGCATTGATTGAGCAAACACGAATACATTCGAAGGTGTTGCTTCTAGTAGGTGTACAAATACATTCAAAGGTTTTGGTTCTAGTAGTTGTACATTATCGTTAGAACCGAATTAACTCGTCTATAAGAGTTACAAATTGATCCTAGTACTTAATCTGATCATTGGATCCAAGCAACTATTACAGTAATATCGTCAACTTTTCCTCCTTTGTGACTGTGGCCTGCTTCTCTTGATTTTCTTGCAAAGGGTGTATCTGCAGCATACCTATCAAACGAATTATAGAGTGCAAGATTTGCTATAGTACAAGCCATGTAGTCAGGTTTGTCGCCTTTATTGCTGCTTGACTTGATAACTTCTTCGATCTCAAATCCATGCAGATTATCAAAAACACCATCAGTCCCAGCAACAACAATGTCGCCTTTTTGAACCGCAACTTGTAATTCCTGTGCCAAGCTAGGATCATCCTTGGAATTTCCCAACTGATACGGACAGTTGAAGTAATGCTGCTGCACGGGTGACTGATACACGACTTTCCCATCTCGTACGACTATAAAACCACTGTCACCGACGTTTGCGGCCTGCAATGCGTTACCCGAAAGTGTAATGATGCAGGCGGTGGATGATCCTGGAGCCTTAGTATTGGAATAGGCTTCTTGCATAACCCTCTTCGGATTCACTGCTCCATTAGGCTCAGATTCGGCAGCAACCCTCGAATTCTTCATGAGATCCCTTGCGTATTTTCCTGCATCTATACCTTGCTTGCACCAGCCACCAACACCATCCGCGACTCCAATTGTCTGCGCCTCTAAGCTTACGAAGTGAGCATCGTCCCCTTCGGGCTTTTCAGGGTTATCTTTGGGAAGATAAGCGGACCCCGCAACCATCTTCAGACCTACTGACGGAGTAGCACTGCTCTTCTTAGAGTTAAACTCAACGGGCAAGAAATCTGATGCTGCTGTTGGAATCCATCGCCGGAAGTCGGATGCTTCCGCGGAAACCCGTTGCCAAGGGTTAAGCTCAACGGGCAAGATATCTTTTACTGCTACTGCTAATACTGTGGGAGCAAAGCGCCTGTAATCGGATGCTTCCATTGGAGCCCATTGCCTGTTATCCGACGGGTCTGCTGGAACCCAATAATTTCTTATTGTGTACGGATTCATTCTAACAGGAGAGTTATTACCTTTTCTTTCATGAAAGAAATTAGTCCCGTAACAGTTTGAATTATAATGATGATGCTCCCAACTTTCAGACGATCGGGGCCTCTTTAAGGTAGCCATGCATTAGTGAACTTAATATCACACCAACTAATTAATGCGTGAAATTAAACAAAAGACAACACTAGTAATTAAAGAACTAGAGAAGAAGGATTGATCAGAAGGAGAACCCTCTGGGGAAAAGGTTGACAGTAATTTGAAAATCTAACTAAGAAACGGCAAAGATGCTGAATGAATGAAAGAAAAAGCTCCATAAGGGAGTGCAGGACATACGTATCATATTATATAGACTATAGTGAAATCCGCGGCCGTAGAGCAGCCCTCCTCCTATTTCGATTCGGATACGGAAAGCTAGGTAAAGTAGTGTTGGAGTTCCACTTCTATATCCTTGTGACATATTTTCTATGCCAATCCAATGCCACCTCTAATATGTCGCCAAGTGTCCTGTTATTATTTGCACTTTAATTTTTTAATAATTCAAATTGGTTTGGTTTAACACAAATTTTCTCTACCCTCTAAAACTTTGAACCAAAATTAACCGACCGGTCTAATTCAAATACCATAACCACTCACGATCTGTTGCATTGGGGAAAAAGAAAAAGAAAACCTAAACAAAATTGCCTCCAAACTCTTTCATCGGTGATTGCTTTGAACAAAGCCAAAAAGAGACAATCGGCAGTGGAGACAAGGAATAACATAATAAATATTTGGAAACAAAGAAGTCCAATTATGCACAGAATCTGGGATGATGGCTTCAGGTTCAGAGAACTTTCCATGGAGATTTCTATCCATGAAGTCCTGAGTTTTTCCTAAGTCAGCAGTAGCTTGCATTGTGCTGGTTACTTTTCGAACCCAGAAAGGATTTGAAACAAAAGTACCCCAAATGCATAAATATCACTTTTCTCTGTAAACCGGCCAGTAGGACTGTACTCAGGAGCCAAATATCCCATCGCAGCGCTATCCTTGAGTGCTGAGAAGACAGTATCATTAGTAAGTAATTTGTGGAGACCCGAATCAGAAAGCAAAGGTCTGTTTCGTTGATCAATCAGCACATTCGCAGCAGAAATGTTTTGGTGAACAAGGGCAGGTTTATTCACCTTGTATCCATGTAAATACTCAATACCTGCTCATATTTATTATGTTATTCCTTGTCTCTACTGCCGATTGTCTCTTTTTGGCTTTGTTTAAAGCAATCATCGATGAAAGAGTTTGGAGGCAATTTTGTTTAGGTTTTCTTTTTCTTTTTCCCCAATGCAACAGATCGTGAGTGGTTATGGTATTTGAATTAGACCAGTCGGTTAATTTTGGTTCAAAGTTTTAGAGAGTAGAGAAAATTTGTGTTAAACCAAACCAATTTGAATTATTAAAAAATTAAAGTGCAAATAATAACAGGACACTTGGCGACATATTAGAGGTGGCATTGGATTGGCATAGAAAATATGTCACTGAGGATCCCAAGTGTTCATTATTATCGTTAAAGGCTACAATAATTTTAATGTGATGAATATTATCTGAGAAATATTAGGACTACTGTAACCGTTAGATACAGAGCGTCATGTATGCCATATACAAATGAAAACAAAGAGTTTTTGTAAATGAGTATGACAACAAGAAAGATATGAAATATCTAAGAAAAATTTGTGCAATGAAATTTCAAGGAAACTTAATTAACAATATTAATAAACATATTTCTTTCACCTTTAATTATATGAGTTTTAATATGTAAAAACTATGTGTAGATGAGGTTGGATTGAAGATTATTTGAATTTTTTTTTTATGAGAATAATAGTGTAATTATTTTTTATGTGATGTATGTGATATAAAAATATATGTTGAGAAGATAAAAAGATGATTAAAAAACATATCCATCATACAGTCAAAAAAAAATTTTGAAAAAAGATTTTGAATCCAAATTTTTAAAGTTTTTATTTGGGATAACAGACTTCATTATGATTTTGAAGTTATATTCAACAGCGCATGATTAAAAAAGTGAAAAAAATAAAGTGCTTTTAATTTTGCTGAACAATTCATAAGGATGAATTACCTGCAAAGTCTTGTTCTTTTACTAGAAATCCTACTTATTTCAAACATTTTTATTTCTACAATTTAGTCCTTGAACGTATTTTGGATATCTATTCAATAGCCCACGCAGTTTCTCTATAAATCAAATAGTTGCTTTAATTAAGTAGTTTCTGGCTACCAACTAAAACAAAAGATACAGCAATTAAGCTGCATGAAATTAAACATAACAGTAGAAACTAGACATGAAGATAATTGAACATATCAAGGAATTGGGATTAATTACTTTCATTGATATGCTTCACGAGTTTTGACTAGACTATCGAACCTTTCCCAGATAGTAAGAGGTCACAAAATACTTGGATACAAACATTAAGGAAAGGAAAATTAGAATAAAAGTTCCATTTGGGGGATCAACTTCCATCATTACGATGAAAGTGGGGGCATAAGAGAGATAGAGATCAAAAAAAATCTTATTTTCTTTTTTTTGCAAAATCTAATTTTCTGTCTCCTCCTCTCCTATCTCTTTTTCCTTATTAGTATTGATAAGCATAACAAAGAAATTTGAGAAAATCCTTTTATTGTTATATTTTTGGAACTCTTAGAGTGAAAAAAAAAGAGAAGAATAACCATTCCCACTTTTTTTTATTTTAATTATACATAAAAAGGGTAAATACATAAAAAAAAATTTCAAACACACTGGTCAGGTTAACAATGGAAAAAAAGACTAAAAAATAATATTATGGAATAAAATGATTGTAACACTATAATTTAAATGGATAAAGCGATAAATAACCGTAGTAATGCTATAAAATAAAAGGGTGTTTTTATTCAAATTTCGTTAACATGAGTTGAATTGCCTATGAGGATGAAGTGAGGAAAAACTAACATTATAGGGTAAATTGATAATAGTGATATAGTTTGAAGGGGTAAAGTGATAATAATCCAAATTAAAATACCAGAGTAGGTGTGAATCGGCGGGTAAACAAACCTTTTCAAATTTCAAATGAGGGCCATTTTTTTTTCCTTGTATTTTCTTGCCTTTTTGCCTGCCAGGCCCGCCGATCATCTCGTGTCTGTTTCATTATGTTGAGTATTGACAGTATGCATTCCACAACTCAACTCGGTTGCTAACCTTTTCGTCTTCTCCCTCAGGCTTCAGCTGTGGGGTTACTAAAATGTTTTCTTGGTAAGTTCCAATCTTTTCTTATTTTGAGCTTACTGCAGCTATATTTCTTTCTTCTTTTTTGTTCTTTGTTATTTTCAGTAAGAAAAGACA